CTCCCTCCATTAACCCTCAGTTTGTTTTGTGAGATTAAGAGTCACTTATGGTTTGTCTCCCTCCCAATCCCATCTTGTTTCATTTACTCTTCTCCTACCCCCTTAACCCCCCATGTTGCATCTCCTCTCCCTCATATCAGGGAGATCATATGATAGTTGTCTTTCTCCAATTGACTTATTTCGCTAAGCATGATACCCTCTAATTGTAAAAGATTGATGCGCACAGAGCCTCAACATGGGACATAAAAACAACCACAAGATGGAGGTTCATGTGATGAGATCATTCGTATTAAGGAGAATCTTTGTCTTTAAATTAAGAGTGCAACTTATTTTTTTTTTAAAGATTTTTACTTATTTGTGAGAATGAGAGAGTGTGCATGGGGGGAGGGCAGGCAGAGAAGCAGAGTCTGCAGGGAGCCCAATGTGGGGCTCTATCCCAGGACCCCAAGATCATGACCTGAGCCAAAAGTCGACGCTTAACCCACTGACCCACCCAGGTGCCCCAACAGTGCCATTTAAAATGAAAAGATACTTTCTTTAAAAATTTATTCCCTATAATAGTAAGGCCAAAAAACTGCAAAAATGTATGCAAAATATAGCACTGTATATTTCAAATATATATGTGAAATTCTTCCCCTCTTGAATAAGTAAGAATTTATTAAAAAAAATTCATTGAACAATGAGAATGTTAAAGTTCAAGAAATTAACACAATATATTGATTCGGCGATTTCTGTGAAAAGCAGGCATTTTGTGTCTGTCACAGACACTTGTTAAATGTGATTAGATATAAAGATAGTAAGACCTTACAACTCTGTCAGAGTGATAACTGGCTGGTTACTGTTTTGTTACATGTCAGCACCTATTTCCAGTGTCACTTATATATAGAAATTACATTCACATAGCTATAAGCTGCTTCTACATGGTAATTACATACCTATGTACACAGGGTACCCTTACATGATACTTAAATGCCTAATTTATATACATATAAATTAGTTTTTATCAAAATAATGTTAAAATTACAATTTGACTTCATGTTATAATAGAATCTATAGTATTCTCTGGACTTAGGCATGTTTTATATGCAGCTTGGTTCATCTGGCATTTGGGGACATTTAAATCTTGATCCCAGAGGGGATCTCTGTGGCACCAAGGATTCTGACCTACAGCTGCTCTATGCTAAGTAATTATTTTGGTCCAAGTAGTGAGTCTGAATTCTTAATGAAGAGCATAAGAATAATCAACACCTCTTCCTGGTCATCAAGATAATATATACTTAAGGAAGAGTTTTCTAACTGATGAACATACCCATTGGTTTGGTTAGACCTTCCGGAATCTTGAGTTTCCAAGTTCTGTCTATTCCTAAGATGAAGAACTACACTTGTCCCAGAGAGCCCAGGTCTGGACTCTGTGTCCCGTCAACCGGACATGCCAGCTGACATATATATGTATATATATATATATATACATATATATGTATATATACATGTCAGTTCCAAACAGTCCCCAGTCAGCCCTCATATTTCCTGACACGCTTTATAGTATAACATTTTGATGTAACTAGATAGGAATCAAAATGAACTAGAATGAATTGCTTCCTCTGTATTCCCATTTTACTTTATTATCAATCAACATGTTATACTACTGATAATAATTTATGTATTTATCTCCCTATATAGACTTTAAGCCCAGGCTGGGCAGGGATAACGATTCATTAATCTTCATATCAGTCAGCTTCTACAGCAGTGACCAGACACAGAGTATAATATAAAGGCTTGTTCTGCTCAAGTGAGTCAAACACAAGCAGGTATTTTGATGATCAAAACTTGTTTCATAATTGAAATAATTCTGTACTTTCACAAGTAGAAATCTGCACAAAAACAGATTTATCAGTTGTATATGTCAGAACCAAATACACTATTATGGCTGGTTTCTGAATACATATAATGAGAATTATGATTACTGACTATAATATTTCACTTCAGATATCCGTACTGTGAAGTCACGGAATTCTAATGTGATTTAATCTTGCATTTGCAATTAATCCCTCGAATAGCAAAGAATAAGGAAAAGTGATATGGGATTCACTTTTTCCGGCCATTTAGGTGTTAGAGCTCCTATGAGTATGAACTACTTATATAATTAAAAAATATGAACTTATCAAACTCACTTTTAATTCACTGTTAAAGAGATTGAGTGAAATAACAGAATTGTGCATTAAGATACTATAGGTACTTTAATGGAAGAAATAGAAACAAGACGCAAATGTTTTCCGGCATGTTGACCCTAAAACACACAAACTGCAACTGCCATTAAGAGATTATTTTTTAAATATAAAAACTATTTATTTAAAAAAATCCTATCTATAGGATTTAACAATTCCAAAAACCTGAAGTTCTCAAAATCAGAGGGTGAATTTAATTCTAGTTCTAATATTTATATTATAGCCTATAAAAGCTATTTGCCAAACGATGCACTGAATTGACTCAAAAATAATTTCTCTGAAACTAAAAACGAACCGGAAGAGAGTAAACGCAGCTAAACTGAAATGTTTACGCCGGTGCCGTCATTACTGACAAACGCTTACTCCACAGTTGCTCAAACTAATGGAGAAATTTACTTATTGAGAAATAAGATCAATTGCTTGAAAAATACTGAGACAAAAGTATAAAAGGAAACAAAAAACACAAAGATCCCTTTGGTTTTTTCTTCCTTTTGGAAAAGACTGAAACTGTCAGATTTGTCCTATTCTAACATTTTCATACAAAATGGGTGACACTCTGTGTTCATATTCATGAACAATGTTATTCTACCTTACAGTGACAGAGAGAGCAAGTGATGAGATGTTAAGTAACACAAAAGAAAATATTCAGACTGGGAGGTGGGTAAAAGGGAGGCAGCAGCTACCAAGCATCAGGGAGGCATGTGTAGTGAGTGAGAACACTGCTTCCCGGGGGAACCCATACCTTGCTTTGTTCCTGCAGATCAATTTGTGATGTCTTGAAATCAGAACTTTGAGAGTTTGCGCTGAATCTGTTTTTCCCATCCAGGAGCTCTTCCATTTCTTTCATCTGAGCCTTGAGTTTTCTATTTTCTTTTTCCAGTCCTTGCTTTTCTGTTTCAAGTATTTCCCTCTTGTCCCACTCCGAGATATTTTCAGCCTGCAATCTCTCTAGCTAAACACAGAAAACACAAAGAGACAACATGTAGCACTTGTAATTGCCAAAAGGCAAGGCACCCAGCAAAAAAGCCCCCACTAACAAAGGTTCACAGATACCTAAGTATAATTTTTAAAAGGAAACCATATTTGTCTGAAAAGTTGTGAACAACACAAAGGTCCTAAGACCATGCCATGCCCTAGATCAATAGAGCTTTCCTCCTGGCTCATGAGACTATGTCTATAACAATACAGACCATATTTGTCAAGTAAATATATCAGGTGAAAAACTAAGGTATCCTGCCAACAATCTCCACTTAAATGGTGAACATTTATCGACTGAGAAGGTGCAAAATAATTTCTTGGGCAATTCTGGTTGCACGGATATAGCTCATGTATTCATTCAGTCATTTATTTATTTATTTCCTATACCTTTCAAGTTCCACATATTATACTGGTCATGAAGAACAAAGAAAAATGAATGTAATAGAATAGTATAAATTCCACAATTAGAGTACTGTAAAATAAAGTCAAACACACAGAATAAGTGGTTAATTGGATTTCTAGGGAAGAGAGGTTGGCAACCACAGCCAGGTGGCCAAATCTGACCCATTCATCTTAGTATATTCCATAATGGTTTTCTTTTTGAAAAAAAAATTTTAAGTACTATTTCAGACACATTAACATTATATAAAATTCAAATTTCAGTGTCATAAACACAGCTGTATTGTAATGCAACCACATTCATTGGTTGCTTATGATTGTTTTCACACTAACAATGGCAGAGTTGAGCTGTTGGGATAGAGACTGATATGACCGGCAAAGCCTCCATTATTTACCATCTGGCCCCTTACGGAAGAAGTTTGCTCACCTCTGCTCTCACCTCATGGTGCCCAACCAAGGCTGCACATGAGATTCTCCTGGAGAAATGTTTACAGTTGCCAGTGACCAGAAACCTACCTCTAGAAGTTTTGATTTAATGGATTTAGGGTAATTTTAATGTCTCCCTTGGTCAGTTTTTCTTATTTTAACATTCTTTTAATTTAGACTTTAAGACACAATATCAAATGTGTTAATTTTATGTAGTTTTATTATGTTAAAAAGTTGTTCATTCTTAGAATGTGGTTGAATTGGGTTTGCCTGTTATGATTTTTTTTCCTTGTTTTGGACGTTTTAAGTAGAAATGATTAGTAATTCTTTCAGCTCTAAAATCTAATTCTGAGCGCTGAATTCTAATCTTGATTCACCACTGATTCTGTGGGTAAGATTAATCTGTTAACTTCAAATCCCCAATATGGTCAATTTATTCCCCAATGTGACAGGGTTTGTGTAAAGTAAAAATTAATTAAATAGAGAGGAAAACATTTTACATAACAATATTCTACTTAGAGAAGAAATTGTGGTAATATAATTTGGGAAAATAATTATACAGTTATTTCTTCCATAAATTTGGGCATACGTATATCCAAATGTCAAAGTAATTTCATGGCATAAATCTAATGGTGAAGCCATTCTTCACAGTAGAAAAACAACTGGAACATAGTCCTGATTCTGTCACTTTCTCATTGGCTGAATCTGATATATGTTTCTTCTTTCTGTTCCTGTTTTTAAATAAAATTAAGACAAGGACACCAGATTCATCTAATTTGTGGAATTATAAGGACTGAAAGAAATCAATTATTCAAAATGCCTTCTGAACCATGTAACATGATTAAAATAGGAGACATTTTTACATTGTTAAAATAAAAATTGGAAATTATTTATTTTTACATTGTTAGTTCCAAATGGCTTGACTGAAGAGTATTGATTAGTATTAGACTATTATAAAATATTTTTCATGACATTTTAAATTCTAAAAGACAAGTCAACTTAATCAAAATCAACTTGAAAATGTCATACTTTAAAAAAGAAAAATGTTAGACTTCAAAACATCTTTGGAAATGGATTTGGTTAAAAAATTTCTAAAGTCTGCTTTTTCATGTACATAAAATTGTACCATTACTGTAGAAAATGTTCTGTTCCCAAATCTAAGAGAAGCTCTGGCTTCTAAAAAGCAGGAAACAAAAATTACATTCTTGGGACTAGACCTTGTTTATCAATTACATTCAATAAACTAAGGGATCAAATTTTATTTTATTTTATTTTTAAAGATTTATTTGAGAGACAGAGCGTAAGCCTGTGCATTCAAGTTGGGGAGGAGGGGCAGAGGGAGAGAGACTGGATCTCTGCTGAGTGAGGAGTCTGACGCCAGCTTGATCCCAGGACCCGGAGAAGTCATGACCCGAGCTGAAATCAAGTTGGACACTCAATCCGCTGAACTAGCCAGGCGCCCCAGGGATCAATTTTAGATGATGTGGTTTAACATGCAGGGGATCTATTTGGGAATATGAGGTGAAAACAGTATTTCAAAATCCAATTACCAACATGTCATTTTTTTAATTATTAAGAATAATGCTTAAACTTTTTGATATCATCACATCACTTATCAGAATGAAAATAATAAAGCTATCACAAAAAGTCATTAACTTGGTGATGAAAAATTAATTTTAGGAAAACATATGTATTTCTGGCCAAGGACAAATATGTCATGTCAAGGCTTTGTGAAACTGTAGGCATTTAAAATAAAATTCCTAAGTCAATTTTGTACCTGATAACAGATTACAGGTAGAACTCAGATTTATATATAAGTAACAGATGGTTTGAATGAATAAACTCCAAATATTTAAAAATAATAATTAAAGGAAGGAATGATTTTATCACTTGTAACAACAAATCTTAAATAATGATATCTGATTATTTGCTATTTGCAAGTTATTGACAGAGCAATTATTTCATAAATTTATGTATACAACACACAGCAAAAAAGTAAAGGTTATGTAGAAATTAGAACATCATAAATACTATAAACAGTTTTATTTCTGTTTTCATTTTACAAAATTTTTTCTTATATGTTATTCTTTTCTAAGAATCATATGAAAATCTATTAACATTAAAAAACCCATTCAACTGAGGGCAGCCTGGGTGGCTCAGTCAGTTAAGCCTCAGACTCCTGATTTCCTTGATTCTGGCTCAAGTCATGACTCAGGGCTGTGAGATCTAGCCCACCTTGGGCTTTGCCCTCAGTGGGGAGTCTGCTCCATATGCTCTCTCCCTCTGAACTTCCCCCTGGCTTGTGCTCTCTCTCTCTCTCCAAAATAAATAAATCTTAAAAGACATTCAACTGAATGCAAGATAAAAAGAAAGGAAAAATCAGGTACTATTTTAAGCTTTCAGAATTTATTGTAAGCAATTCTAATAATCATTATCAAATTGAAATAGAATTCCGTTTATTTGCTTTTAGTAATCAAGAAAAAAATCCTAAAATATTTTCATTCTATTTATTCTATTCTATTTTCATTCATACCATGAATTTTCACTAATAGTGGGTATTATTGTTAAATAAATTTCAGGGAATATGGGAGTTATTGAAAAAATGTTTTCTAGAATTTTTAATGTGAAAATATATTCTCTAAGGAGTAATTGGTAAAATATTTTTTTATTTAATGATTCCAATGTTATGCATATTAAACACTGAGAATAGGGGCACCTGGGTGGCTCAATCAGTTAAGTCTGCCTTTGGCGTCGCCCGGCTAGCTCAGTCGGTAGAGCATGAGACTCTTAAAGTCTGCCTTTGGCTCAGGTCATGATCTCAGGGTCCTGGGATCAAGCCCTGCATTGGGCTTCCTGCTCAGTGGGGAGCCTGCTTCTCCCTCTCCCTCTGCCTGCGTTCTCTCTCTCTCTCTCTCTCTCTCTCTCTCTGTGTCAAATAAATAAAGTATTAACAAAATAAACATTGATAAAAATATGTAAACACCCAAGCAACTATTCAAGTGTTTAACAAAAACTATTTAGTATCTCTTACATAAGAGGCACCAAATAGTCTATTGACAAAATACAAATATAGGTATAAATTGGGCATAAACTCATATGAGGGATGAAACCCCTTGAGTGCTGTAAGAAAGGCCTGAAATAAATGAGGCAATCAGAGGTTATTTGAAGGAGTAATATGCAAGCTGAAATCTGAAGTTTAAGAAGTCAAAGAGGCAGATTCAAGGCAAGAATGTTTGAAAAAAAGAAGCAGGAAATAGGTTTGAACATTACAAGAGCCAAGAGTTCTATCATGAAATATTAGGTGTAGGGTAGAGTATGATATGAAATCTAGACAAGCAGGCAGTGGTTCCTGAAAGTAAATGTGAACATCAGAATTATCTGAGTCGCTTGTGGAAAATGTAATATTGCGATTATTCCCAAAGATAGAACTATGGGGTCATTTCTAAACATTTTCATCTCACTCAATGTTATTGCTGCTTAATGCTATTGAAAGAACATCAAAGATTCTAATCAACACAATAACTAGAATGCAAGTTTATGAACCCAGAGCCATGGCCATTTTGTTCATCAGTCTGGACCTGACACATGCTATTTAAATGATCTATAAGTTCTGTTAGAGGAAGGAGAAGCACACAATGGTAGTCTCTAGGAAAGAGCCTTCCTAGGTTTCAGTTACAACAATGAGACACAAAGCAAAATTAAGAAAGCATCCTGGAAGAGTCAGTTATTTAGCTTATCGTACCTAACACTGGTAGAATTTCTTAGATTTACTCTTAACTCATAGCTCTTGGCATCTCTCCACTGCATTCTGTTGCAGGTAAATGCACTGATGTAGACAGAAGACTTCCAGTAGAACGACCTATAGTTGAGTCCCAATCCTCTTTATCTTGAAAGCCTCCATTTTTTTTTAATAAAATATGAAAAATATTTCCTATAGCCTAGTGTTGTAATGCAGAAATTATTTTATTTAGGGGAAATATTTATTCCAAACTCAAATATTTCATGTGATTTTTTTTTTTTCTAAAGAAAAAAAACAGGGACGTCTGGGTGGCTCAGTCAGCTGAGCATATGCCTTCTGCTCAGGTCATGATCTCTGAGTCCTGGGATCAGGCCCTACGTCAGGTTTCCTGCTTAGTAGGGAGTCTGCTT